GTGTTTGGACAGTGGAAGGATATGGGTCTGGAGAATGCCTCACCAAGAGTTTTGGCTCAACAGATTGCAGCCAACTGTGAAGCATGGTGGTTTCAGCGTGATGGTTTGGGGAGCTGTTTTGGGTTGGTGGGAGATCGAGCATAGTGGAGTGCGTTGGCAACATAAATTTTGCGAAATACGTCGAAATATTGGAGGAAGGACTCTTACCACTTTATACCTCGGGTTTCGTGGACAAGGACACAACGTTGTTCCAGGAAGATGGAGCACCGTGTCACACAGCTAGAAACACCCAAAAGTGGCAGGAAGAAAATGGTATCCAGAAGTTGCCCTGGCCGAGCCAATCTCTTGACATGAACCCTATCGAAAACCTTTGGGCCATACTCGACCGGCAAGTCAAGAAACAAAAAAAAAAAACCAAACTTCGAAGAGCGATCTACTCCAAGTTTTGAAGCAAGAATGGGCTAAAATTCCACAATCTAAAATTGACGAGATGATTCTCACGATGCCCCAAAGGATCAACGAATACTGTAAATACTGTTTTTAATCACCAGCTTTATTATATTATTTTTTCTATATTGTTTAATTCTCGTATTCTATCTCGCATTACATTCTGTTTTCGTGTATTTGTTGCATTTCAAAACGTTCCTGTAACTGTCATCAACTGACAGGCTTGTTTCTGGCTTGAAAAATAGCGTTTACTCGAAACGTCGCCAAGTAAATAAATTGCTACATAGTTTTTATTCAAATGTGATTTTTCTCTTGAAGACTAATTTCTTTACATATATATTTCAGTATTTTTAAGTAGTTGAGCACAATTGTACTGTAATTTCTCTGACAATATTATGCGGGGATAAGTAGATAATAGACTTGTTCTTATATTCACGTTGCACTTCTTTTTTCCTTATTTTATTTCAATGATCTTTATGATTCGAACACGTGTATTTCACAAGAAATTTAAGACAATTATGAGAAAGACATCAAATATGTTTTGTGCAGCTTTTAGCCGCTTGTATATGTGTGCTTATATAGCTTATATATTTGCCACTAGATGGCAGCTGCGAATTTTCAAACTACGCTAACTCCTAACAAACTACCGTTGCTAGCCCAAAGTTTTGTAGGATTTTTGTATATACTAGGAGAAACGCCGCAATACGGACGTCTGTCTGTTTGTCTTAGAAATTACTCATTGTCGTATTCATACCTCTTTGTGAAAATTGTAAAAAGTGAACGTTTTCTAAAAAAGTATTTTTCTCTGGGAAGTACTGCACGGGAAAAGTGTTCGGATAGTGCTCTTTACTCATACGCAACTTATTGCATCAAAATTATTCAATGTACAGAGCTCAAAATTTTAATAAATTTTACTGATATAAACTGCATTGTTTTTAAATGTTAAAAGTGCTACTCTTTATTAAAAAAATAATAGTTTTTTAAGAACTCCAGTTTTTTGTACTACATCTAAACTTACACTAGTAAAGATATAATCAAACCTTCACGTACAGTCCTAGTGAAAGTCATATTCTTGTTATGAGGAGAGTACTTTTATTTATAATTGTGTTATGTTATAAAGAAATTGTTGTTGCACATATTATAGTTATTTTTCTTATTGTCTGAATCTTGAATACTCAAAGTGTGAAATGTTTTAAGGACTCAGTTACCACTTTTGACATTGAGATCTTGTATTTCAACACAGCAGATGGCATCATTGTATTTATTATTTCGGTCACATACAAAGATAAATATATAGATGGCCATGCCATTGCTCCATTATAGTAAGATAACTCATTCTAATTGCTTAAGGAAAATGGAACTCGTTTCTTGGAATTAATAAGGTTTAAAGTGTTATTACTCATAGGGTTTGCAGTTTTTAATCCACAAGTGGTTAACGTACCGGACTGTGTATTTGGGGTTCACAGTTTGTATCCTGTTACCATCTCCGCACTTTTAGGCCATGGGTGGGTTATAACAGTGATAGTGAATTCCCACTATTCGGTCTGACAAAAGTTGCCCAACAGTTGGCGAAGTGTAGTGTTGACTAGCTGCTTTCCCTCTAGTTTATCACTTCAAATTTAATGGAAGCATATCGTAATTGTCAAAGTACATATTTTTTTATCAGAGAAAT